TTGCTGTGGCAAGCTTAAGAGCCAATCTAGTTCATCTTTTTTAACCATCACCATAATGTGATATCCTGTTTATTGTTTTAAATGTCTAATTGTTCAGTAACCAAATAGAGGAAAAGCTTTTCACTGGTACCACAGTGCCATTCACAATAACATATCAGAACATTCTGGAATTCATATTGTTTATTAAAATAAATAAACAGGTGAAATTTGACATTTCAGTTTTAAATAAATGCTAATCGGTAGAAATAAGTATTAGGAGACAGGGAGCTAAGAAGTGAAGCTATAAATTCAGTCTCTTTCTATAAAAAATATAGGCTCTGTCAAATTGCCTTATTTTGTGTTTAGATGGATGCAGCACAGGAAGAGCAAGCTCTTTGTGTTTAGCTTATTAAAATTGGTAGGTCTCATTTATTGCTCATAAACCTAAGCAAACCTCTCTGGGAAAAAAAAAATTGGGACAACTATTGGGGTATACGGGTCGTCATTCTGACCAAGTGTATTTGTTCATTATACACTTGTTCATTTGTGTGATGACAAAGTTTCAGTGAGTGGCAGAGACTTTGGAGGGTAAAGGAGTCAGGAAGGACTGGCAGGGACTTGGAATCCAGGTGCTGGCACGCTCCCGCCTCCATAAATAGTACATGATGGCGGTGATACCTTCTTGCGTGGTATAATTCATTGTTTCAATAATTAATGTTGCCAGTGCATGTTGCTAAGAGTACCAAAGGTAAATAATTTACTGTAATTACCAAAGAGGAGCGGTATTACTTATTTATTAGAACTTTTTTTTTTTTTTAAATGGGTCCATTGTGAAAAGTGACCTCAGGGCCCCCAATGTAGGAATTATATATAGTTTGCTAAAAAATTAAAGTGAGCATCACCACCCACTTTATATTAACATTTGCCCTATTCTGAAGGTTAGTTGGTTGGGGTCTACAAAAGTCAGTAAAATTGGTAAATGAGGCCAGACTAACACCAACACATAATCTTTAGTTAATCCATGTAGAATCAGGGAACTTTTTAAACTGATGATGTGTTGCTCTTGTGGGGTTAGGACCTTGCTATTGTGGCCTCTTACTCTTTTCCAGTTTGATTTCAAGGCCTTTTAAAAAATCTTTGTAATTCACAGTAAGTTTTTAAATTTATGTTTTATTATCAAAGTTACACAAATAAATAAGCCATGTCATTTTATAAGATGTACTCATTAGGAAAGAAGAAGAATCCCCATATACACCTTCAGCCTCCAATTTCTCCTCCCCAGAGACAACTGCTTAGAGTGCCTTTTGATCAATCTTGTAAGTGCTTCTGTGTCTCTAAATAATATGTATATGTGGCCTCTTGTTGGCTTTTGCCCATTTCAGGAATTATTTATTGACTTTCCAAAATGGAAGATGAAGTTTTTATTTTTTGAATACCTCTTCCTTCCCACCATGCATGCTTTCCATCCCCCCACTTTCCCAAAACAGTTGTGTTTTATTTTGGCTACACCAGTATTTAGTGCTTCTATTATTATACTTATGTAAATGTTATCCACAGATGTGAAGTGTATTATGACTACATTTGCTTTTGGGCACAATATTTTGCTTTCCCTAGAGTTTTTTTCATTTGCTTGGTGTTCTCTTTATGTATCCCTAGTCCAGCCCCCAAACTCCAACCCAGTTGTGCCAATCTCCTCTAATATGTTCACACTCGTCAGGTGTTCTATAAATTTCATCTGCTTAATTCATCTCTCTTTGAGCTTTCTTACGTGTCAAGTTCCTTGCAGGCCCACTGCATGGATGTTCTCCTGGGTCTTCCTTCACTGTCACCATGAAAATTCCCTATGTTCTTATATTAGACCCTGTGTCTTCCCCCTTTCTTGGTTTAATCCTTCATTTTGATGGAGTACATCTTCCAATAGTTTCCTTACAGGGTTCATGAAAAATGTATTTTGGGGGGGGTTTATATTTCTGAAAATATCTTAGTTTTATTTTCACACCTTTTTTTTTTTGGCTGGTTTTAGAATTCTAGGTTGAAAATCATTTCCTCTTAGAACATTGAAGGAATTGCTCCATTGCCTTGAACTTCAGTTTCTGCTGTTAAAAGTCTGAGGGAAGTCTGCCATCTGTGATCATGTTTCCTCTCTTAATTTGTAGGCTCTTTCTTTGTCTCCAAGTTCTGAAACTTCATGATGATGTGCTATAGTGAATTTATATTCATAGCGCTGGTCACTCAAGTGGGTCCTTTTACTCTGGAGACTCAGGTCTTCTGCTCTAGGGAAGTTTCTTGAAGTATTTCTGATTTCTTCTCTATTTCACTATTTTCTCTTCCTGGAACTTTTTTTTTTTTTTTCTTGAGAAAGGAAATGGATTTGAAATTCCTGAAATAATCCTCTGCTTTCTTGTGTGTTCTCCTATCCTCTGCATTTGAAAGTTTCCCCCAACCTCTAGATATTTTTTCAACTTCAATGCTCTGATATTTGTTATTTTCTATGAGTTATTTTTTCTCTGGGTTTTTTGTTTTGTTTTGGGTTTAGTATTTTATTGCTTTATAAGCGTAAGAAGATTCTCTGGACATCAGTGAAAAATTTTAAGCTTTCTTCTCCCTAAAATCCCTGTTTCTTCCAATTTTCTTTTGTTCTGTTTGCTTGTTTATTTTATTCCTCATATTAGGTACTTCTCAACTGTGCGGTGACTCTTGGCTGTTCGATCACCACTGAGCTCACTGGAAGCCCTCCACATGGTGGAGAGCTTGCCATCCATGATTTCTACTCAAGTAAAAAGCCAGGGACATTTTACTGGGAAATCGCAATTCCCAGTGAATCCTAAGTCACTGGGAAATCCCGGAGAAGACTTACCAGTTTCTGCCTGGAGGCTCTGTCCCTGTCTGACTGGGGACCAGTAAAGGAAAGCTCTTCCCTCCTCAAAGGCAGCTTCTGTCCTACTCTTCTCCTCCCAGAGTCCAGTTACACGTGGGAAAACACGTAGTTTCCGTTCTTTTTCAAAATCCTTTCTTTTGGGGCGGCTGGATGGCTCAGTCGTTAAGTTTCTGCCTTCGGCTCAGGTCATGATCCCAGAGTTCTGGGATCGAGCCCCCCATCGGGCTCCCTGCTCGGCAGGAAGCCTGCTTCTCCCTCTCCCACTCCCCCTGCTTGTGTTCCCTCTCTCGCTGTGTCTCTGTCAAATAAATAAATAAAACCTTTAAAAAACAAAACAAAAACAAAAATCCTTTCTTTTGTACATTTTTCCGTTTATACTTCCAATTTTCGAATCCTGTTTTCTGTCGTGTCTTGTCAAGAACTGACATTGTATTTACAAGTGAACAAATGCCCATTTGATTTCTTACATATATTCCAGGGCTCTGTTAAATCATCCACCTTTTAATTTCTTTCCTCCATTTTTTCCTCTATTTTCTTCAACATACTAATCATAGCTGTTGTGAAGTTCTTATTTGCTTACTTCAAAATGTAGGATGACCTGGGAATCTGTTTATGGTATCTCTTTTATTTTGTTTTTGTTCCTGTGCTCTGGCCATGCTTGGCAGTTTCTCTCTGCGTGCCGGACATGATATATAAAAAATTGTAGGCACGACACACCCGATGATGATGTAATTCTCCACAGAGCGTGCTCCCTGCCTCTGCTCGGCAAATAGAGTGCTGGCTGATTGTTTCCATGCAGTCAAGGTTTTGCTGCAATGAGGCAAAAACCGTTTGCAGCCCTGGTAAACTCAGACTACCTCGGGTTTGTCCCTGGCCTTTGTGAGGATCCTTATGTGAGAATCTTGCGTGACCCTGTCCCTTGACGAGTCCCAAACTCAATCTTTTCCTCATGAAACTGCCAAGAAGCACCACTGTGCCTTTTAGAGATTTTCTAGTCAGGTTTTTAGCTGTCTGTTCTGCACAGCCCCAGAATTTAGCAAATGTTCTTCACAGAAATCTGTAGCCGCCCAAATCTCCACCAAAACCCCCTTGGTTTTTCTACTGCCCCGTGGTGGCCTATAGGAGGTACAAAGCCCCAATTCTGTCTGCACGGATAATGGACGAAGGCACCCAAGTTAAAAATGGCAACAAAAAGTCCGCTCAACTCTTCAGGGTCTTCCCCTTCTCCGAGGGCAGCCCCTCAGCTCCTCCTGTGCCTCAGCTGTGCTCTGCTGCACTCCGAGCCCATTTCCGGAATTATCTGGTGGTTAGTAGGCTTCTGCTAGCTGCCCTGACCCACTTGGAAAAACAAAAGTCACCAAGATTTTTTTTTTTTCAGATACGGGAAAGAATTTTAAAATTGTAAGATGAATTTGGAGATGTGTTCAAGTCGTTAAAATCATGGTTAGCATTTCCACATCGAATGTACCTTTCGTTGATAGAACATCGTTCATTGGTGATTTGGAAAATATTGCTTTACTAATTTATGCAAATCTTCATATTGTTGATACCCGTTTCTTATCCAAAACGAATGTATTGCATTTGTTAATATCACCACTGAGCTCATCTCAGAGGTGGACATAAAGTTTCTGAAATTCTAATTTTTGCTTGAAAACTCAAATTTTATCATTAGCAACTACTGCCATCAGTTACTTTCCTTGAACTGACAGACTCACATTGTTCATTTTCAAGAAAATAATGTCAAAACCCAAGTCAAAATAATCATAGTTTTGCAATCAGTTGTATACTGTGTTTCATGGAAAAGTTGCTTTTCAGGTCACATCTCAAATGCCTTTCTTCAAGCCGATGATCATACTATAGTAATCAGCAGACGTGCTTTATGTCTACTTCCCATTTGAAATCTGTGATATTCCTTTTGCCGTGCCAGTTACTCAAGATGCTTTCTTAAAAGATTGTAATAATACAACATATCAATAAACTTTGGCTCCTATTCTTGAAACTTCAATAGAGACCTATAGACCTTTAGTACAAATTGTTTATTTTGACTATCTGGACTTACAGAGACATACAGGTGTATTTTGTAGATACAGAGAAACTGTGTCTTGTGTGGGTTGTTGATGGCATATATCATTTTATTTTGTAGCATCTAACATTCACGAGAGAATTTGACTCAGATTCTCTAAGACATTATAGCTGGGCTGCAGATACCTTGGACAATGTCAATCTTGTCTCAAGTCCTGTTCATTCTGGGTAAGTAATCTAAAAGTCACTTTTCTTTATCCTATTAAATGAACATTACATTTATTATTTGGAGTTATAAATTCATATCGACAAGCTTCATATGTATAAAATATTGGTCTTCTGAAGACTTCATTAGTGAGTATATGTGATGTATATTTGTAAGTCATTAGTCAATTTTTTTCCTGAGCAAAATGGTATATCTATTTTTTGTTGGAAAACACAGTGTTAGAAAGGAAAAGAATTAGAGCATTGGTGCATAAAAATTTCTTGCCTGTTCTGGTACTATTCCCAGGTCTTTAATTTTTCTTTTCAATTAAAAAAATTAAATCTAGCCATTTCCCTTAATTTTACTTTATTCAAATGAAATTTTATTTCTGAGTCCCTGATTTTCCTTTCTAATGAAAAATTAAATATGTAGGTATAACTGTTCATTTACCTTGCTGACTGCTTTTGTGCTTTGCTTTGAGCCTGAAATCTTCAGATCAAGTTTGGTACTTTCTGCATTCCTAAAATAAAATTATGATTAAGGTATTAAATTATAATTAGAAGAAGAGAAATTAATTTTAAAATGGAAAGAAAGGGATTCACTTTTAAAGAGTGAATGTACCAATGTGTGTACCCCAGGGGTGCAGTGGTAAAAACCACATGGGACAGGCTCCTTCCTGCTGTCCCACTGGTTGGCAGAATCTGGGGTAGGCGGTAGGAGGTCACCTGCTCCATCTGCGGAATTGATAATCAGCGTACATTTAGATGTGGGATTCTTCACCTGTAGGTAATTAAAACATGGGCTAATTGAATCCACACAAATGGAATGGAAATAATTGAGCTGATGAAAACATCCAGGTGTTTTCACCTCTGAAACCAATATTTAGGCCATAAATTAGTTGTGATCCAGGACAAGGGTGGATTAGTTTACAATTAAATAAATGAACAATAATTAACATTTCTGAAATGCTGTATGTATTACATGAAGTATTTTCTGCTGCTTTTAATTAAAATAAACTGTAATAGCTAATGTTTACTTTTGTATGTGCCTGGCATTGTGTTAAATGTTTTACATGTATGATCTTACTTAATTTTTATTTGAACCTTGAAATGACACTGTGAGATAGGTTTTACTCATTATCCCCATTTTGTAGACAAAAAGTCAGACTCAGAGTAATGCTGCAGGTTATTTAAAGTATTCTTACAGAATTGGCTTGTAGCACGAAGAGCTGCAATTATCATTCAAATGGAAATAATTGACATGACAGGGCTTTATAAACTATAAATTACATGGTGGCCTTTGACTCATTAGCATTGCATTTCTTTAACTCAATCAGAACAATCTTTAATTATAGTAAATTAATTTTTAATTGCTTAAAATATTTACACCACTGATGTTAGATGTTTATGGGCCTAACATTGCAAAAGCAAAAAACAAAAAAACAAAAAACAGTTGAGAAGGAAAATATAAAATACTTGGGACACAGTGAACAGCATGTTCAAGAGTTCCTTGTATCAAGCTTGGTGAATTGTTGCCATGTTACAAAGACCTAGAACCAGCATCTTGTATTCTCTACATGGGAAAGAAAAGTACGAGGGTCTAATTTAGTCAACTCTTGTGCTTTGCTTCAAATGATAGTTTGAACTTCAAATGAGAAGTTGAGGGAGCACAGAATAATAAAATCAGAAGTAAACTTTCCCATACACTGGAGACAATGAAATATCTGAATACACAAATTCTCTCTCCTTCCTCTTGAATTTACTGAAGGCAGTAGGCACGTCCAGGAGAGCAAAAGTAATGGCAGTTAGCGTGGGCTTATTTGAAAAGGAAAATATAGACTCGGTAGACACTTGGAAATGATTCACTAATGCCACGTCTGTGGAATAGCTTCTGTAGCCACTTAAGGCGAATATTTTTCCAGGTTGTCCCACAAATGCCAAATGCCTTGGCTTCATTTTCTGATGGTTTTTATTTTTCCTTTGCTTATCATTGACATTTTCTGTTGCCTGCTTCTAATTATCTTACATTAATTTTTCCCATTTGCTTTCTAAATTATTTTGCAGCTATTCTTCTCCACTTCCTCAGTATGATTCAAGGTGATAACTGTGTCCTTTATGTGTACCACCCTTTTTTGTATTTTTAATTTATGTGAAGTTTTCCCACAGTTAGACGTGTCAATGTCTGTAGTGTATCAGCATTTGTCATCCCGCTATTCTTAAAACTAGAAACATTCATGTGTTAGTTTTAGGATCATTTGTAGTATTCCCGCTTTAGTTTAAATATTAATAAGATACAGCAAACATGATTAAACATCACCTTTTGATTTGTTTCTAATAAGTTATATTGCATGAAATTTTACTTTGCACAGAATATGTAACGGGTGAGTTTGGAAAACAAATCACTGTATTTCATGATGTTACTGAATAACAGGACCCTATCCTGCTTAACATGTATTCTCACCTTTCCTCAGTCTACTGGCTCTATCAAGTTGAAAACCTTAGAACAATAAATGATTGCTAATGACTACCAGCTAGCCACTGGGTGCTATGTGGAACCCAAAGAAAGAGCTTCTTCTAATTTGTCGTTAAAATCTTCTAAGACTTGTTTTTTCCATATAGTTCTGATATTCTTTGTAGTTTGGGTATTTTTATATTGACATGGATAACCTTCTTATACGACCTTCAGACTGCTCAGCCACAAGTGTTTTTTATATATATCTTTTTCATATAGATGTATTTTTAGTATCAGTAACCTCGTCTGACCTAGGCAGTTCCTAAGCACCCTTAACACAAGAGTTTTTGTTCAGTTGGTCACTCAGTTAACATTTGTTATGTGCTTATTGTATTTGGGAACTGTGCTCAGCTGCGCAAGGCAAGCAGTGAGCAAGACAGGCCTGATCTGAATTACCATCTATGTTGTTGAGATCAGCTGTTTATTGCCAGCGCAAACATTGCCCTCCCTGTGTAAACACTCCAGTGTCCACTTGTACTAATACAACCAAATTTTCAAACCCGGAGTTTATTTTTTTGAAATTTTATTTAAGTGATCTCTACACCCAACGTGGGGCTCAAACTCATGACCTTGAGATCAAGAGCCAGATGCTCTACCAACTGAGCCAGCCAGGTGGCCCCCAGAGTTTATCCTGAATCATTTTTAATCCATTCTGTTGCTGTTGTTCCTGATCACGAGTTGATTTTCACTACTGAGTGCTGGGAAGGATCAGGTTTTGTCTTAGGCTTCTTTATAAAGTTGCCCTATTGTCTTCATTACTGAGTAAAGGTAATTGTTAAGTATGTGTATATCTAAGATAATGTGGGCTCACCAGAGCACTTTCAGGAGCCTTGTTATCATTTAGCCCTGGAGGCAATTCATGTGGACACTTGCACAAGTGAACAAGTATCTTTGTCTTTGACGTGGGAGGTCTGTGTTTTGTTTTGTTTTTGAGGGGGTCAGTCTCTTCCCCTCTTACTTTGAATATTAGACTGGTTCCAGTCTCTCAAAGTAGGTCTAATGTTACCAAAAAAACGTAATCCCGAGGAAAATGGCCAAATCCAAAATAAGCAGAAGGGTGTGAAGATGATTCCACCTAACTGATGACCAGAGTTGGTTCTGAACATCTGATTGGCTGAAAAATGAGCCCCATGCTATTGCCTTTCTCCACGGGGATGGCAGGTCAGTTTGCTTTGTGAAAAGGTTCCTCTTCCAAGGTCAAGAAGCATCATCTTAAGGAAAGCGTCCCCAGCTAGGACCTCCATGCAAAGTCCTAAAACCTGTTTGCAGGATGTTAGAACTGTATTTAGATAAACTATAGTAGAGGATTTTGATGGATGGAATTATTCCCTCCCCCCAATACTATAGGTATTCAGATAACTTTCTAATTACCAACATGTGGTGCTGTCCCAGTAATAAGCATAATTTCACATGTGAACATTGGAATGCAAAGGGACGTATGTTCTTCTGTCTGACGTGCACTCTTCCATAGGTCAGACTCATTGGTGTACGTTCACCGGAGTGCTTTTTAATACCAAAGATTCGAGGAGGACGCTCCATGAGCGTGTGATATGAATCAGGAATTGCAATATGCTATAACCCAGATATGATACTATTAATTTCCTTACATTTTCACATCTACATGCAGACAAATAATTTTTCTTCATTAGCTTTAATAGAAGGGCCAATGGCAGAATTATAGTATATAATTTAGAGACATTTTCTAAAAGTCTGTTCAGTTTTATATGGCTGTACAGATACTCAAGTGTAGGTTATTTTAAAGGGTTTTAATGCCAAATTTATACTGAAAAGATTAAATCCCTTTCCATCAAAATTGCCTGAGCAAAACTAGTCATCTGCTTTTATTCTTATATTCTGCTTTGTGGTAGTAAAAATTAGAGTATTCTGTATGATTAAGTATATATTTATTTTATGAGTTGTACATGTTAAGACATACTGTGGAGTTTCATCTGACTTGTCAGGGAGAGAGATTCCATAGTCAGCATCTGGCTAACACCATTTATAGTTAAAATGATGCTTGAATATAGCTGAAGTCATCCACAGAGACCACACAGAGCGGTCTGAGTTTGGGTTTTTACATGCATGACGGTCCTGTAAGAGCCAGTTTTTATGCCAGCTTTGAAACATTCACTGTTCCTCAATTTGAACATCTGACAAAGCAGTTGGCTTCTGTTAGGAGGCCAATGCCCCACCGAAAATAAGTTGTCTCGTCCCACTTTTTGCCCAGTTCACAAGTTGAATGCATGTTTGATGTCACTCCACTGTATTTACTTCCAATTTATTTTTAAAGAGAGGAAACGATAGCTACATTGTCTGTCGTTTTAAATCTTAACATCTCAAAACCTACTGTGAAGGTGGCGTGTTTCTCTCCTTGATTTGGCCTCCGATCTTCTCCCTACAGGTTTCTGGTTAGCTTTATGGTGGATGCAAGAGGCGGCTCCATGAGAGGGAGCCGTCACCACGGGATGAGAATCATCATCCCTCCACGCAAGTGCACGGCCCCCACCCGCATCACCTGCCGCTTGGTAAAGAGACATAAACTGGCCAACCCACCCCCCATGGTGGAAGGAGAGGGATTAGCCAGTAGGCTGGTAGAAATGGGTCCTGCAGGGGCACAATTTTTAGGGTAAGTTGTTTTGCCAATTTTTACCTTGGCCCTTGTATGATACACTTGATTTTCTTTACCCTTTTTAAGTCAAGTAGTTAACTATTAAAACTACTTAGTTGGACCATTTTGATCAAGTACACTTTTCGTGTAGTGTCAAAGGTCACAAAAGCTGTGTAATTCTCTGAAAAGCTAGTAGGCTGATACTTCCTTAACTCAGTTTGCTGGTCAAAGCTTTTACTAACCAAGAAGCATGTTCTCTGCTCAGTGAGTGCACGGAACCCCAGCGGCCCCTGTGGAAGTCAAGGCACCATTCTTAGGGAAAAATATAGATGGCGGAACTATCTCACCACGTTGAGTAAATGGCTACTATGGGTACATGTCTTTTTTAAAGATAATTTCTAGGGAAATAATCCATGGTGATATGGGACTTTGCAAAAAGGAAAAATGAATTCATTTTCTGAGGTGGCACTTGGGTGCAAATCAGGCAGGCTCTGTCGTGACGGACAGTTTGTTCACGATTTCCCCTTCTCGTTTCTCTTCCTGCTGCATGGATGTTATTCAGTAAACTGCATCTTCCTACCAATCCTCCCCCTGTAAATGAGGGCGAGAGCTTGGTTAGCCGAATCCTGCAGCTTGGGCCTCAAGGAACAAAATTTATTGGGTAGGATCTTTATAGACAAGATACAGAATGTCTACAATTCTTTTTTCCATTTTCAATTTTTTTCTGTCACACCCATGGTCTTCTTGTCTTAATTTTATTTTTATCTTTTCAGTTTTTAATGCTTTCAGTTGATGTGTGTCACTGAAAGACACAGAAATCATAGTGGCTTGACTTAACCGTAGCACTGCTACTTCTACCTTGTGCTTTCCGAGCATGTGGAATTCACTGCAAACCTTCTGCTCCATAACTTTGTGCTTCTGTAAACCTTTCTTTAATTTGAAATGTTTCAACTGGTTACGATAGTTTTTAAGACGGACTGACGATCTAATTTTAACCCAGCGTAAAAGAAGGTATTTGCAGGCTTTGAATCAACATTTGCTGTAAATGATATATACGTGTATGAATATATATATGTGTGCATATATATATATGTACATGTCTGGAGTTACAGTTTTTTAAAAGTACGTACTTATGCATACCAAGTAATCTTTATGGGCTTTGTGAAACAAAAGTCCTCAAGAAGTAAACTGAATTTGATAAATGTTGGGAATAAAAGATACTTAAAGCCAACTAGGCAGCAAATAGAATATTCTACTAAAGTTATTAAATTGTCTTGTTTTGTTTTGTTTAAGCTGAAATGTGTTGGTATTTGTTGTTTGTTTGCTTGTCTGTCTGACTGGTGGATTTGCCTTGGCAGTCTGCATGAAGACACCTGTTATGAAAAGTTATGCTTGGCTTTCACCTTCGTCAAAGGCCCTGGTTCATACCTTCTCTCCAGTATTGTTGAATGTCCTACACAAAGCCACATTCCTTAAATATTTACAGAGACAGTATCTGATACATTAACCTGCAAAGATTGTATCTAGTTCTCAAAAAAAAAAAAAAATTAATGTCAAATCAGATGTGGTTAAAACTATGGTAAATATCTTAACTCTTGAAAATATTAACACGCTTAGGAATACTTGATTTTGTTTCTACCTATCAAAAAATAAAGGCACTATAAAAAATTTTAAATCCTTAATTTGAATTAATTCTAATTATTTTGCCAAAAGAAAAATTGTATTTATCATCCCATTTTTAAGTGAATGCTTTTGTAATAAATGAGACGCTCATATGTACTTGTGTTATTGGATCATTGCAATGACTCTCGCTTTTTCTGCTCTTACCTATTTAAACCTGTGTCTCCTGTTATCACATGTACATAAACACATAGGTTAAGAGGTGAGGTTACATACAACCTCTGTAGGAGAATAATGATACTGTCTACTTAAATGTCATAAAATAAAGCTGCACAATCCAACTACATAAACTGTGTGTGATTGTGGTCTGCTTACTTCCATCCATCTTTTTTAGCATTTACCCTATTTTAAAAGTTAACAAAATTACTCCTGTGCCTGATTGGCTGTCTTCAATTTGCAGCCATCCATTCACATTCTTTGGCAAAAGGACACTGTCAAAAAAGTAAGGTATCGCTGTATTACGATTCCAAACCAGCAAGGACTTTCCAGAAGTCTAAATCTTCCTGTGCAGGTTATGCTGGAGTTAGGAAGTTAAGTTGCCCACTACCACTTCACAAATTAAAAATGAGAGAAACTGCCTTAACTGTGTAGGCCATAAAATTCAAAGAAAGTCCCTGTTGGAAGGAGTGAATTGTTACGTCGCTCGTTTGCTTGCTAAGGAACAAACACCTGTGACCTTTCAAAGTAGGACATCCGCAGGATTTCTTTTTCAAAGAAATGACTGTGTCCTTTTAAATCATTAGCTTTTTTGTATAATATAATACAGCTATCGTGTTTTTAAAAATGGACCGACTTTCTTATGGTCGCTTTTAATAACTTTCAATTCCTTGATTCAAAAATCCTGTTTATATGTGCTGAATATTTTCCACTTATTAAATCAAAATGCCTAACATGCAGTAGGCCCTTACGAATTGTTCGCGAATGAATGAATGATGGCATGTTTTCAGGCTTCTGACATATTTAATTAGCAAATGATTCTGCAGCTTTGAAGTCATTCCCAACCTTAGTGGCACCTCTGATTTTCAAATGAATACTGTTATTGAAATTGTTTTTGAAAGTATGATATTAGAAATATATTTCATTTGATAGCAAGATAATGTGGATTTTTTTTCCAGCCCTGTCATAGTGGAAATCCCTCACTTTGGGTCTATGCGAGGAAAAGAGAGAGAACTCATTGTTCTTCGAAGTGAAAATGGTGAGACGTGGAAGGAGCATCAGTTTGACAGTAAAAATGAAGATTTAACCGAACTGCTTAATGGCATGGACGAAGGTAATTACGATGACTCCTTGTCTCTGGAAATGTCGGCAGGTCGAAATCAAAGGCCTGGCCTCACTGAAGTTCACGCTTCTTGAATGCCCCGCGTTTGTATTCTGAGCTGGGAGTCCGGGTCCCCGGTATTTATTGCTGCTTTCTGAAACTCAGGCAGGAAGTCCTTTTAATCCGACAGACTTTTTTTCTCACAATATTAATGTACAAATATTACATTGATGATCCTTTCGGCCTTTAGTCAAATATATTCATCTTTCCAAAACCCAAGGGAGTCTTCTAAGTGCAAGATGTGTAGATAGGGTGAATAATAATGGAAGGTATGCAAAGCATGCAGAACATTTTTAAGGAAATACGTTCACATTTTATTTTTGGAATTATTTCCGGATCCTTTCCTGTATCTCCGTTTTGTCTCCGATTATTTCAACATTCTTTGTGAATTTTTAATTTCCGTTGAAAAAAAATAAGTTGCAGCCTAGTAATTGGAGTCTGTGTCGTATTCTGTGACCTAGTAAGGCCACGTGGCTGAGCATGTCATGCTCATCGGAGCATGTCACCTCCCTCGGTCGTCTGACCCTCAGAACCAAGGAGGTTTTTTGACTAGACGTTGGGAATAGACTTGTTTTGAGACTAGGTACTGGATGCAGAGGTTTCCTTTAAAAAATAAAAAACAATCAGAGACCAAGTTCAGCACAGAATGAATCTTTATACTGACTTCCTAATCACTACAAATTCAGCAATTGTTCTAAAGAACAGCTTTATTAGAGATATAATTCACATACCATAAAATTCACTGTCTTAGCATTTAATTCACTGGCTTTTGGAATGCATCCAGCATAGTCTTCTGGTTTCAAAGGGAAGACAAAGGAGCTAGACCAACTCGGGTGTTTGAGGGATGACCGTGGGTGAATTCTTTGGTCCCTGTGAGCCTCTTTTATTTCTGTAAAACAGAGATCACCTTCCTTCCTTCATAGGGTTGTGACTGGGAAAAAATAATTCTGTGAAGAACTTGTGAAATACAGCCTTTGACACACAGTAAGCCCTCAATAAATATCAGCTGTTGTCATTATTCACTCTAGAGAAAATAATGTCCTGCTGAAGGTTCTGTATAAGACACAGTTAATCACAGCCAACCAAGAATTTAAAGATGTTTTTACAGCAGGGTAGAAGGAAACTAATAATTGTTGAGTTTCTACCATTCATGAGGCAGTGATAAATTCCTTTCTATATGAAAATTTAAAACAAAAGTATAGTACTGTAAAGTAGGTAATTTTAATCATACTTTATAGATGAGGGAACTGAAGTTCAGACCAGTCAAGTCGCTTACTAAGGTTACCCAAACTAAGAAGCAGCGCTGATGTTGAAATCTTGTTCTATCTTGTTTTCAAAGACTTAACCATATCCCACTGATTTTAGAAATGTGTGCCCCGTGGAGAAGAAAATAAACTTAAAGAGGAAAATTCCTACAAACCCCTAGATTTAAGGTCCAGAAGAATAGTCATCTTAAATGGGTATCATTAAATGTTTATATATGATACTGATATTTATACCATATGCCATCTATAACTTCAGATGATTTCTAATAGACATGCAGTGGTAATTAAGAGTTCTAATTTTTATTACCTTATTTTAAAGCATGAAATGTAGTCATTCTCTTATAAGGAAATTGATAAGAAAACATAATTAAAAGTTTTAAAAAGAATACATCCTAAGAGAATGAATTGAATTAGCATATTTTTTTTTAAGATTTTTTTTTTTTTTTTTTTTTTATCTGAGAGAGAGAATGGGAGACAGACAGAGAGCATGAGAGGGGGAGGATCAGAGGGAGAAGCAGACTCCCTGCTGAGCAGGGAGTCCGATGCGGGACTCGATCCTGGGACTCCAGGATCATGACCTGAGCCGAAGGCAGTTGCTTAACCAACTGAGCCACCCAGGCGCCCCTTGAATTAGCATTTTGAAAATAGTAAAAGAATATAGATGATGCAGGATTTAAAAATGGAGAGAAGAAGAGAAGTGGGTTTTCCAGAGAGGATAGTTATTTTGATTAAGGACAAAAGAGTATATAAATATTTTCATGTTTCTAGTGTTGTTTTTTTTAAGATTTTACTTTATTTATTTATTTATAGAGAGAGGGGGAGAGAGAGAACATGAGCAGGGGGAGGGCAGAAGGAGAGGGATAGAGAGACTCTCAAGCAGACTCCCTCCTGAGTGTGGAGCCTGATGCAGGCCTCAATCCCATGACCCTGAGACCATGACCTGGGCTGAAATCAAGAGTTGGTTGCTCAACAGACTGAACCACCCATGTGCCCCCCATGTTTCTAGTGTTTCTTAAATGCCAACGTAGTAGGTTACTAGTTATTGAAATGTAGCCTCTACTACAGAATGATTTTCTTTTTTTTCTTTTTAATGGATAGCTACCTTAATACTGTACTTCCTGAGGGCAGGGTACGTGTCTTAATCACCTTTGAATGTATCAGGCGCAGCACTTATTTAGGTTTCCCCCTACTGCTGGTGAGGGGCAGGAAGAGGAACCTCCTTAAAATTACGTAGCTCTCTGGAGGAAAAGTTCTCATTCGTCTATTTCCTCTACTCCAAATGTCATTAATGTTAATCTCCGGGAGGAAAAAATTAACGAGGAGCATTTACTTTGAGGAAAGTTCTGGGAAGGGAACAATATTCTAGGAAGAATACTGAACATTCTAAAACAGTGCTGTCCAGTAGAACTTTATATGATGATGGAAATGCTCACTATGCATGCTGTCCAACAGTAATCACTAGTCACATGTGATTTTGGAGTACCTGAAATGTGACTAGTGCAGCTGAGGAAGGTAATTTTTAATTTTGTTTCGGTAATTTCAGATAGCCACACATGGCCACTTGCTACGTTGTTGGACACTGTAATTCTAGCAAAAACACTGAGTATTCTGATATGTTCTCCTTCGTTTTTGAGTATAGATTATAGTATGTCCTAACAATCGCAAGTAGAATTTTTTTTATTTCTTAAGGTTTATTTATGGAATGGACTTCCATGATTTCATGCTGATTTGCATTCATTTTGTTTTTAATAAACCAATTTTCATATAGGAATTAGTCCTATTTTTGCTTAGACAAATGATGCCCCCAGTGCTGCTATACTCAGGGCATCTGTCACATGTTTTAAAGAAATGATGATATAGCCCTCTGTGTTATCTTGGAAATAGTAGAAAGAGTTTCTTTGCCACATTCTTATTTATTTTTTTAAAGATTTTATTTATTTATTTGAGAGAGAGAGAGCACAAGCGGTGGGGAGGGGCAGAGAAGGAGAAGCAGATGCCCCACCAAACAGGGAGCCTGACACGAGACTCAATCCCAGGACCCCAGGATCATGACCTGAGCCAAAGGCAGACGCTTAACCAACTGAACCACCCAGGTGCCCCATAAATGTCTCCTTTTTAACCCTCTTCCATATGCTACTTTTATACCAGTCCTATTGTACCTTATTCCCTGAAAATCTTAAAACCCAAATATTTAAAAATCATCTTAGCCAATATTTTGATAACTGATTTTGACTAAAAAACACAATCATAAAGATTAGATTATGGTTCTATAGTATTTCAGAACTTGCAAAGCCTTTCCAAATGCACAATTTAGTAGTTAGAATTTAGGAGTTAGAATAATTCAGTAGTCAGAATAACTTCAGGGAAAGACAGGTTCAAGGAGGAGGAGAATTTTCCCAGTGTAATTGATGGTTAGGGTCAGATCTGTGGACATCACATAGACTGGAATTCCCATCCTGACCCATCACTTATTAGCTGTGCAATCCCAACCAAGCTTTAGTTTCAGTCTGTAAAGTGAGGATACCTCACAGAGAACTAAGGGGGAACTGACAAGCTAAAAATGTGAAGTTCTTCACCCAAGGTCCAATACATGAGAACCACTCAATCAATGTTAGGATTCATCACTGCTGCCATCCATGTACAGTTGTTCAGGAGAGCAGGTCAGGGCTAAAATCTTGACTCTTCCACTTGCCAAACCATCTGTTCTGACACTGGCTGCAGGACAAAGGGGCACTCTTACCTACTGTTCCCAGGTCACTGACCCGCAGGGTGGTGTCTGCCCCCTCTTCCAGATCACACAAGGCTAGTTCAAGCCCTCGTCCTGGTTGATACCTCCGCCTCACCACCACCCAGTCAGGAAATAGTAAAAAGATCTAGCTCTAGACTTCTAAAATCCAGACTTCTGACTCCAAATTTAGCTGTTTTTCTATTATACTCCTTCGCCTTTCTATGTTCTCAAATGAAGGATGCCTATGACAGTGTTTTGTGTGGAATAAAAATGTTACGTAAATGTTAGCTGCTATTTAAAATGTCCATGACTCATCAAGGTACCATCTTAGTTCTTGTGTGACTCAAAAGGATATGATATGTATTCAGGAAAAAACTGTCATTGCAGAATACAGTGGAATTAAGATTTTTTTTCTGCCGCTAGTGAGCCCACAGACAAAAGCATATCGATGGTTACGCCAATGAAGCAGGTGTGTTAGCAAAGCTCTCTTGAAGTAAGAGGCTAGAATGACAGAGGACAGGTGGTCTGGGTGTGAAGAACCTGCTGGTACCGCTAGGATACCACGTGGCAGGAGCAACTTTTCTCTTTGGCAGCAGACATAGGTCTTGTTCAAGCACTTGTCACGTCTCTGCTGAGAAAAAGATACTGCAAAACATATTCATTCTGCTGCCCCCAAAAACATCATCTTTAAAGTGCACCAAGTTGAATCCACTTCGTACGTTTGTTTAAAACCTTTAGTTTGGGGCGCCTGGGTGGCTCAGTCTTAAGCGTCTGCCTTTGGCTCAGGTCATGATCCCGGGGTCCTGGGATCGCGCCCCTCATCGGGCTCCCTGCTCAGCGGGAAGCCTGCTTCTCCCTCTCCCACTCCCCCTGCTTATGTTCCCTCTAAATAAATAAAATCTTAAAAAAAAATAAAAAATAGTTAATCACACTCACAGAGTTTGGTTAAAGATGTTTAA